CTCTAGAATAGCAGCTTCCCATGTCCGACTACTCCGGCTCTGAGAGATGGACACGTTTCCACTTTCCCATCCTCAACTCCGTCTGCTCTTCTGCCTGCTAGAAAGGGGTAACTCGGGGTGTCCCCCCCCGGCCGCCTCTCCACCCCTCGCCGCTGCTCACAGGCTGTTTTGCAACTACTGTTTCCAGTGGGGATCAAGGAATATACACAAGCAGTATATTTTTTAAAAATATTTACTTCTGTGAAAATAAAGATAGGTATCTCATAGTTTCTTCCCATAAACCAAGCGGTTTGTGTTTCCAAGCTGGGGCATTTCTTACTGTCTCTGTAGAAACAACAGACGCTTTTCTACCACTGATTCTTTTCTTTTTTAAACCGTTTTTTTTTTTTTTTTTTTTTTTTTTTGGAAAGGAGCTTTCATGTTCTGCGGAGTTGCTTTCTGGTGTGGGTCTGTCTCATAGGGGAGGAGACAGCAGGCGTTCCGGGCACAGGAGAGCTGGCCAGGGCTGGAGAGGTGTTGCTGGGATAAAGCCATGAGACACCGGCCAGAGGTGACCTAGGAGACTCGCTTGTAAGTCCATGAACTCACAGGGTTCTGTACTGTTCGCCTGCACCACTGTAATGCCACAAGTCTGTGCTGACCCGGGGTGAATATGGTGGTACCTTGGCTTACAAATGCAATTCTCTCCACGGTTCTAGTCACAAACAAGACTGGATGTGAGCTGAATCAAAATTCTTCATTGAGACTAACCATTGAATTTGATTCCGTTCTCTTCCAACTCGGTTTGTGACCCGAAGCATGGAAAGAATTCAGTTCGTGAATGGAGGCACCTCTGCCCATCGCCAGCTTGGCTGATCCCAGCAGGGTGCTCTGTGTAAGTCCAAGAAGATTCAGTCTTCGGTATGTGCCTCACAAATTTTTTCAGCACCACTTCCCTCTGCACACCTTGAAGGCCAGACGTTGGAATGTGCTGGGTGGCTCCTTCATCTCCTATTCTGTTCCCTTGATCCACATGTCTGCTTTTGTGCTAGCACCGTGCTGTGTTTATCACTGTGGCTTTGTAGTATACTTGAAATCCTTGGGTATACTAGGGATTGCGAGGCCTCCTGCTGTGTTTTTGTTCCCCAGGATTGCTATGCACAGTGTGTGCACATGATACCTGAGACAGATGTAAATATTATACACTGCAAACATGTATTAAGAAAAAATTTATTAAATAAAATAAAGTGCCATTTGTTAGCATAAAAAAACCGAGGAAAAAATGAACTCAGCCAGGGCCCCCGTGGAGCCGGTCGGCAGGGGCTGGTGAGTTTAAGGGAGAATTTACTCCACAAGATCCTTAGGCTGGTGAAGGGCTGAGGCAACAGACCCGGAGCACCAGGCCTCGAGCAGGTTAGAAGCGAAGAGCAGCTCTGGCCCAGGGCAGAGGGCACAGAGCGAGAAGCTGGAATGACTGCGACTCGAGGTTTGGAGAAGGGCTGCATGGGCCAAACCTGAGCTCCGTGAAGGAGACGCCACAGGGCAGCAGGGGCAGAGGGTTCCTGGGGCCACCCCAGAAGGAAGCGGGGATGAAGGAAGGTGTGCATCCTTCTCCTCCACCCTCTCTCTGGCGCCCCCCTACTGGTGGCACCTAGAAGGAAGGCATAATTTCCGCTGCTCCACACTTGCCGGCGACAGCAGTTTAGTTTTATAACAGTGCGCCTGGGCACTTTTGTCCACGGCTCGATTACCACTAGCCCCCCCACCCCCATCGCTGTAGGCTGCAGAACTGCTCCCACTCCTTTCCTTAGAAACGGCCAGGCGCGGGCAGAAAGTGGCCTGCGGAGCTTGGCTTTTGCAAAGGGTGGATGGTTTCTGCTGCGGGGCCTTCCGGGCCTACTGCCCCGTGCCTCTCCCACGAGCACGGACAACCGGAAGTGCCCACGGCCCCTGCAGGATCCCCGGGAAGCTGGGAGTCCCCTCTCCGACCACCGCAGCGTCACCCGTCACCCTGAGGGTGGCAAGAGTCAGGGGGCTTGGGCGTCCTCCGCGGCCTCCGCTTTCAGGACCCGCCTTCCCGCTTTCCCCGAACGGTCCCAGGGGGCAAGAGGGAGCGCAACCCCGGCCTCATGCACAGAGCAGCAGCCGGGCCGGGCGGGAGGCTGCGCTGCTCCGGCCTCCCGGCCCAGCGCTGGAAGGCGGGGAAGCTCGCTCCCTGTCCCCTGAGCTACCAACAATGTCTCTTTTATTTTTCTTTTAACGTGTCCAGCTGCTGCCAGGAATACCACGTAAAACCTCTTTATGGAGTGAGCACAGCCCAGAGCTTATGTCAGCCGGCTCCGTCAGGGACAGCGATTCTAATTAATGCCAGGGTTCAGGGCTGCACGGGCCACCTCCACCCTCTTGCCCGGGTCTGCACTTCCGGCTGACCTGCCGGCACCCTCGTGCTTGTGACTAACCAACGCTCCCCATGTTTCTCACCACATCCAGGAGGGCAGGAATAAAACTCGGCTCCAGGTCACCGCCTTCCAACCCGAACCCGAGCCTGCTGTGTCCAGCAGAGCATGCCCGAGGAGGCCGCCTCTGGCCCTGGCTGTGTTCATCGACTGGTGGCGGCACGCTATGGCCTCTGGAGAGTAGCAGAGAGGGCTCCTCACTGGGGGGAATCAGTCTCAGCTGGGCACACCAGTCATTCCAGCACTCTAGGAGGCTGAAGCGGGAGGACTGCAAGCTCCAGTGCAGCCCAAGCAACTTAGCAACTTAGCAACGGCCTCAAAATAAATATCTTGGTCACGCTCCCCACCGCCTGCTCTGGACGCCTGCTGTCCGTGTACCACTGCGGCCACTGGCCTAGCCGAGCCTCCCGGGGAGGCTGGGAGACAGGTTCGTGGCTGCCACAGGACTGAGGCCTACTCCGCTGCCTCTCAGTGCTATTGTCCCTGGGTGGGCTTGGACCCAGCCGGGTCCACTGGGCAGGGCCAAGTGCCCCGGCTCTGCAGAAGATGCTGGACCAAGGCCTACAGCAGATGCTGGACAGAAGTTGCTGGGTGGGTTTTGCCACTGATGAAGATGATCAACAGCTGAACGGGTGAGACCATGCAGGTGCAGGGGATCTACCAAATTGGTTCATCAGGCTTGTCTGCAGCGCTGGGTGGATGAAAAACAAAGAGGAAACAGTACAGCCAGAGGGGTGTGTGCTCAGTGCAATCCTGAGTACTTAGTAGTTTTTCCGAAGTTGGGTCCCGTTGTTTATGTCTTGGATCTTGCAGGTAGACTGATCTCAAAAGCTTGCTCATTTGCAGCAGCGGGAATAATGGTTGGCTCTATCTATCAGACAGCTGTGACTTATGGAGCAGTGACAGTGATGCAGGTTGTAGGCCTCAAAGAAGGGCTGGATGTGATGGAGAGAGCTGATCCTTTATTCCTGTTAACTGGACTTCCTACTATTCCTGTCATGCTGATATTAGGCAAGATGATTCGCTGGGAGGACTACGTGCTTAGACTATGGCTCAAATATTCAAATAAACTACAAATTTTGAGCAGTATATTTCCAAGGATTGGGTGTCCTGTTCCTCGAGTTCCTGCTGAAGCTAATCCTTTAGCAGATCATGTCTCTGCTACTCGAATTTTGTGTGGAGCCCTTGTCTTTCCTACTGTCGCAACAGCAGTGGGTAAACTGATGTTCAGTAGTGCTAACTCTAATTTACAAAGGACAATCTTGGGTGGAATTGCTTTTGTTGCCATAAAAGGAGCATTTAAGGTTTACTTCAAACAGCAGCAATATTTACGCCAGGCACACCACAAGATTCTAAATTATCCCGAGCAGGAAGAAGCCTAAAACGGTGAGTTCTGGTTCTTTTGCAGCCCTCTCATCCATGAGTCTGCCGTCTGATTTTGATTCCATCATTAGTGCACTAGTGGAGCCTTGTGATAAGCTGCTGCTCCTATATTTTTAACAAATATAATAAAACACTTTGGGCAGGAGAAATCCTCTCGGTAATCACGGAACCTAAGGATGTGATTTATTTTCATTGTTTTGTATGTACTACTTTTAAGGCAGTCATCTAAACCGTTATCTTAGCATGGTAACCTGGGTTCATATTTTCTCCAGACAGAAATATAAAGATCAATCTGTACAAATATAAAAATCCACATGGTGTTTTATTCTGGTGCCTTCTTTGTACATGTTCATATTTAGTGTTTTCTTAGAATCAGCAATTCAATGAAGGTACTATGAGGATTTTTCTCATTGGCATAATTTGATTACATACTAAACATAAACATGTTAATATGAGGAAATGTGAATTAAATTAGTTATGAATAAGTAACAAACCAAAAATGTATGTAAACAGTCAAATGATTATCTGAAAAATGAAATTTTGTTGTTTTCCTTAACCCTTGTGATGTTCTCCAAAATGTAGATGGTAAACATTCAAGGGCTTCCAGATCACTTTTTCACTATTAAATTTTATTTATACAATGCTGACATATCATACTTTATAAAGTAATGTTGACTCATGTCATCTTGATTACCAGTGTGTGTGTGACTGTGTCTTTCTCATCAGGTCCGTCGATCTCTGAAATGAGGTTTTAAAATCCGTATTTCTAGAAATTAGGGCTGTCAATTTATAGTAGCTCGAGCAGAGAATGGTTTTCAAAACAACAAAAACAAAAAATTATTTTACTTTGCCCTTTCAGTTATTCAGATATTTGTTGATCACCTATTTCCCCCGGCGCTGTGCTGAGTGGTATGGATACAGTGGTGAGAGAGACAAACGTGGTCCCAGCTCTCAGAGTTTACAATCTGGTTTCATCAGATGGGAAACCAGCGGTGAATAAACCAAGGCGAGGGCTGGAGATCTTTGTTTTTATGTCAGTCAGTGAGTAGCTAATTATGAAAACAAAGATGTTTTGAGTAAATTTTGAGGTTATTGTTTTGGGCTAAGTCAGTTTATTATAGAAAACCAATACTAGGTGCTAGGAGAGTGAGCTGACGCACCCGGGCCATGGCATCGGGAACTATGGTGCTTCCGAACATCCTGCTCACCGGTACACCAGGAGTTGGAAAACCCACACTAGCCAAAGAACTTGCATCCAGATCAGGACTAAAGTACATTAATGTGGGTGATGTGGCTCGAGAAGGGGCATTATACCATGGCTACAATGAAGAGCATGAGTGTCCCATTTTAGATGAAGAAAAAGTAGTTGATGAGTTAGAGAACCACAGGGCAGAAGGTGGAGTTACTGTTGACTACCATGGTCGGGATTTCTTTCCTGAACAATGGTTTCATGAAGTTTTTGTGTTGAGAACAGATAACAGCATATTATACAAAAGACTTGAAACAAGGGGTTATAATGAGAAGAAACTAGGAGACACGATCGAGTGTGAGACTTTTCAAGTTCTTTATGAAGAGGCCATGTTATCATACAAGGAAGGTGTCGTGCACCAGCTGCCCAGCAATATGCCTGAAGAGCGAGAGGACGACAGAAACCAGATCTTGAGATGGACTGAGCAGTGGGTCAAAGCTCACAGCCCGGGCCTGGTCACCGGGTGGTGCCTCTTTGCCCACCTTGTAGACAGGGCCTCCAAGTGTCTGTAAAAACCAAAACTATGTGGAAGGCCCAGCAGGTATTTTATGCCTGGGTTTCTTTTTCTCCAAGAGAAAGTTAAACAATCACAAATATAATGAATACAATTATCATTAAGCATTTAAAATACACAACAGTTGCTAAACAATAAATCTGATCAAATGGGAAAAAAAGCCCCAATACTAATGATTTTAGATTTTAATTATTTGTCATATTGATAAAGTTAGCATCTTAATCATCGTTTAGTTTTGTATTCATTTTTCAGAAGCATATATTTATTTTAAGCCATTTTCAATAGAGTGGCCATCTTAATGGTGTTTGGCAATCTAAATAGTGTTTTGGTTATTTTCATTAATTAAAGTTAAAACATTTTAAAGATAAAAGAAAATAAAAATCTTAAAAAGGGCTGGGAACGTAGTTCAATGTGAAGGCCTTGGGTTCAATCCCCAGTACCAGAACACACACGTGTGCTTGCACACACACACACACACGCACACTTGAGCACACCCACCACACACTAGCGATCCCTGGTGCACTCAAGCGCTGAGAGTCAGATGACTCCCTGACAGCACAAAGTGAGAACAGTTGTGAAACACGCACTGCCCACACATGCGTGCACAGGCATCTGGGTGTGCATCTGCACAGTTCCATAATACACACTTCGCACCTGGGGCTGCTGGAAAGCAAGGACCCGCAGGGCAGCCCCTCCGCACCCCATGCCCCATCAGTTAATCACTTGACTAATCGATTGCCTGGAATAACAGGCCATTAAAGCTCGATGGAACTCAAAGATCGCTTGTCTAACCTTGTTTCACTAGTGAGGAAAAATGACCCAGAGGGACTCGGAGGCAAATCAACAACTCTAAAGCCAATTAGTGGACAAGCTTGGGGCCAGGACCCCACAGCACCGCCAGGAAGATGGGTTTCGTCCCATCCCTGCACTTGGCCTGGAGTGGGCCGCTTGTTTCCAGAAGGAAGGGGCTGTTCTGTTAGTGCCTGGATGGCTCTGCTCCTGTCCTTCCTCTCGACCCTGTTCCCCGGGCTCCTCTTCCCCAGCAGCACTCCAAGAGGTCAGCCGCTGGCTGCCGGGGTGGGCTGACCTAGCGTGAGAATCACGAAGCGAGTCCCAGCCCTCACATTCCCACAGGACGGCCAAGCCGGGAAAGCGCCTAGACACCTGTGCCTGCCTCAGTAACTGACCGTATTTTCTCCTCTTCACTGATGCGGAGCATTTAGAAATTAAAATCTAAATCTAGGTCTTAGAATTGGTGAGTAAGCAGGAAACTGTTTTGGGAAGGGCTGTGTTACAACTTTATGAATTTTTCATGGCACTTAGCATAATGCTGGAATGGAAGGTGAACCTTCATTCCACTGACACTTGTTAATTGATCGTTAGTGAAACCATTGAATGATGTAGAAATAAGAGGTTTTGGTTTTGGTTGTGTTTGGCAGTGCCAGAGCTCGAATGGAGGGCCTTATGCATGCTATGCAGACGCTTCATCACTGAGCTTGTCCCCAGCCCAAGACACTAACTTTTGAAGGGACATTTGGCTCTTAGGGTGACTCCTTTCCAAGACACAAAGGGGATCTCCCTTGCCTCTCTGCTGGTGATTGATAGTGTCTGACAGGCGACTGTCCCAAAGCTCTGGGCAGGTGCCAGGCTCAGGACAAACACAGCCCCAGACTTTACACACCACAGAGGGTGCAAGCTGAGGCGAGTTTTCTCAATGGTCTGGAGGGCCACGATGTTCCAGGGAAGAGCCTGAGCTCATTTCCTCAGTGTGTGAGCCAGGAAAGATCACTAGACTGTTAAAGTAAGGACAATCAAATGTGCTAGTTTGAGTCAATTTTCCAGCACTAGGATAAAATACCTGAGAAATCAACTGAAAAGGAAGGTTTATTTTGGCTCATGGTTTCAGGGGTTTCAGTCCATGGTTGCTTGGTTCTGTCACTCTGGGCCTATGGTGGGGCAAAACAGAATGGAGGGGAGCATGTTGGGCAACGTTGCTCACCTCATGGTAGCTGAAAAGCCAAGAAAAAAAGAGAAGAGAAAGTGAAGATCTCTGTATCTCCCTCCAGGGCAGAACCACAGTGACCTAACAAAAAATCCAAACCACGAAATCAAACCATCACTTGGACCCCAAGATTGTTGTGAGGATGAAATAAACCAATAAAGCAAGACTGCACAGGGTACCACATAAACTGTAGAGTGCTGTTGTGTGTTGGTTGGTATTAATGTGGAACACAAGATAGGAGAATCCATATTAGGGAAAGTGGATTCTGTCTGCATTTGAGGAGGTTCCCGAAGCCACCCGAGCACCTGTATTTCCAGTGTGATCCAGGCACACAGTGACAGCTTTGAGAGCTTGGATTTCAGAGTGTCCCAGAGCAAAACAAACTTCTTAATTCAAATATCAGTTTTAGTTCATGAAACCCTAAAGAGTATGGGCTCACTAGCTACTGGTATATCTTGTTTGATAAAATAAATGTTCTCAAAAGTTTGCTTACAAAGAAAATGAACTTATTTTTAAAAAGCAATTAGTTTATAAAAGAAAACAGAAGTATGAAATATAGAAGAAAATGATGGCCACAATTCCCATTTCCACAGAAATACCAACTTTTATTTTGACATACTTCTTCCTATGTTTTATTCCATCATTTGAAAAATATTAAAGATAAATTGCACAAAGCATATGTAGGTAAGGAAAGAATCATGGAAGACCCAGTGACTGAGGGAGGGGTTAGGCGGCCAGGGGACAGCACTCTGGTGGTGAAGTAGGCGAGTTTCACCTTTGCAAACATTGGTCTGCAAGCGACAGGGGCAGCTGCTAGGTCTGGTCTCACCTTGGTCCCTGCTGCTCCTGGTGACCCGCGTGTGGGCACTGGACAGAAAGGCTGCTCTGCACGTCTCACTGGGCTGAGTCCCGGTTCGATGCGGTACCAAGTACTCTGCTTGAGCATTACAAGTACTGTGAGATGGCCTCGAGTACCACTGGGAACTGAGTGTTTGACTCCCTGCCCCACATCCGCAAGGTTAAACCCTAATCACCAAGGTCATGGTCTTTGGAGGTGGGGCGTTCAGGGGGTAACGGGTTGGTTAGGTCATGGGGGTGGCGCCCCAAGTTTGGGATGAATGCCTTTATAAAGGCTGTCTCCGCCCCCCCGCCATGTGTACATGTGTGTACACTCCCAGGAAGGCCATGTGAGGACAATGAGTACTCATCAAGAGCCAGGTAACCAGGCACTCGGATCTCAGGCTCCCAGACTGCAGATGGAGAAACAGCTAGCTGGGGTTTAAGCCCCGAGGTCTGTGGTGTTTGTTGCAGCAGCCCTGCATGAGCCAGACTGGGGTCCGCATTAGCGTTTGCCCTGCCAGGTCCTCTTACTCCACTCGGTTGGTCGCCAGCCTGGCCAACTCCAGTCTCCTGGGCCTGGGCCTGTTGAGAAGGCCTCGTGCCACTGGGTCTGCTACCAGCAACCCGTTCTGGGTCAGCAGTGGGGAGCCCAAGCCTTGTTTACCACGGGAGGGTCCCTTGTGACCCACTGGAGGGGAGCAGCATCCAAGGGACAGAAGGTCCCATGGGGGCACGGCTGGTGTGGGCTCCCCACTGCATCTGGTCCATGTAAGCAGAACCACCCTGCAGAGCTCCCAGCACTGCCCTACGTTGCTACCTTCAGTAACTCTACTTCGCTCTAATTAGTACAGATAAGGGACTGCTAACAGGTGACAGATATATTTTCTTTTGACGGTGAGAAATGCACCAGTGTTGAGAGTCTGTCTTGCTTGCTTGGAAAGAAAGCAAAATAAATAAACCCAGGAAAGTAACCCAGAGAGTACATTATGGCTAAAACTAACATAAACTATAAGGCATTAAGTTGGGAATAATTTCTACCACTTCGAAGTATAAGAATATAATTTTGAAAGACAAAAACAGAACAAAACATATGCATATATATAGATATACTGTAACCCACAATATCTAATTTGTACCAATCTATTATGGAGGAGAAAAAGAGCAACAAGTGGAAATTTATCCCCAAATCTGGCAAAAAGCCACCCCTCAAGTCAGATTTGGGAAAAGAGACTGTAAACAGTGTGGTGGTGTTTGGTTTTACTTTGCAGATGATCTGCAGATATCTGACTTTGATTGTAGTCTAGCTTTTTAGATTTTTATCACAGAAACATATTTCAAAGAGCCTTACTGTACAGATGACGGTAGAGAAGCTTATAAAAACAAACTCTTGGGCTTCTTGAAGCCTAGGAAAAATCAAAACGAAAACATTGGCCAAGCCCTGGATTCCTGAATCTGGGGCTTGTGTTTTCCCTCAGGCATCTTCGTGTCCTGCAGGCAGGATGCTGAGAACAAGGGCAAAGTTTGGATTGTGAACTACTGTGAATGTGAGGGAAGAGTCCAGTCAGCACCCAGCCCCTGAATGTTCTGGAAAGGGCCCTCTGGCCTCTGACACCACGAGGTGCAGGTTGCTCACAGACGGGCATAGGGGCCCCTGAGGCTTGAGCCTGGGCAGCATCCAAAGCACCTGCAGGAGAACAGCGGGTGCTGTGCTGGGTGGGGAAGCCACCGCTTCAGGCCAGGAGACCCGGCAGCTGGGCGGGGCCACAGTGCAGCCAGCTGGCTCTAGGCTGACAGGTCCTCCCTTGGGTGGTCCCTGACCACCTTAGTCAGCACTGGGACCACCTTGTGGGTGCCAAGCACTGTGCAAGGGAGGACGGGATGACAAGACCAGGCCTTGCTAAACTCAGGGGCCATTTGAGGCCCTTCCTGACACCCCAGCCCTGCGTATCCCCCACTTCTCCCTTCCCTGGAGCTCTGTAAGCTCTAGGGAGTGCAACACATTCTGGGCTCCTGCAGGAAGATGCTCCGTTCTGGCCTCTGCGAAGTCACCTGTACAGGTGAGGCTGCCCTTGCTGGGAGGAGACCGCGACAAGGCAGAAGGTGAGGGCAGCACGGAAGGCCCACAGGCAGCGTGGGGAGCAGCGTCCCGGACACCTCTGGGCTGTAACCTTACCCTCTCTACGCCTCAGTCTCCTGTCTTGTGGAGGGGACCTACTGCTCCCTGCCCTGTTCATGAGCTCACATATGCGAAAGCACAGATGTACAAGCTGTTCTAGAAACTGTAGATGTTATGAATCACCAAATGCTAAAAGGCCATGTACCCAAAGGTTCTCAGTGCTGTTAGAGAAAGGGCAGAGTTAGGCTCAGCCGTTCCTCAGGGACAACATGTGTCACCTCACCGTGAGGCAGCCCCCCAAGAGCAGGAAGGTAGCCCGTCATCCAGGGATGCCACACCCACTTCCTGTCAGCACTGCAGGGCCACGGCTGCCACTTCCTGTGCGGTCAGGTGGCTGGAGCTCTCCCCACTCTGCGTCAGGTCCCGGGGCCTGTGCTCCCTGACAGAGAGCACCACTCCCATGCTTCAGTGGGAACTGGCTCAGCCGGAGCTTAGTGGTTTTACTGGAGGGGAACCTAGAGGAAATAATTCAGGGAGATAATAAAGGGGGTTGTTTTCTGTCTCGAAATGAGGCCCATGGGTCTTTGCAGATGAAACTATTCTCTCAGAGTCAGAAATGAATGCAGGAAAAGAGCCTCAGCCACTAGCTCAGCTGGGTGATTGGCCGTGGGCAGACTTCCTCTGAGTGTGGGGAGCTTCAGTCCCGAGGCGGTCGGCAGGACCCCTTCCCTGCCGCTGGGATCCGGTGGCCCGCCCTGCCTCCCAGTCGGCATTCTCTCTCCAGCCCCGGGTATCCAGCCTATTGGTCACCACTGGAGCTAAAATCTGAAGTTCACTTCCACCAGGCTAGAAGGTAAAGACCATGCAGCACCCTCCTCCTGATGAACCATTTCTGTTCTGATGAATACTTCCACCCCGAGAGGCAACTCGTGTCCAGATTCAGCCTCCAGAGCACAGGAATCTCCATTCAGGAAAGGAAGATTCACTTGATACCTAGAAAAGGAAAAGAAGAGAATGATGAAACTTGAGTAAACTCTAATCCAAGCCCAGTGAATACTGAATGAATACATAAAGTCATGAATGAATGAATGAATAAATGAAACTGAAAAACTGGAGCCATCGCTAGACATTGCTGAGGGATCCAGGCCAATGCTCTCATTTTCTAGAAGACCTAAAGCTTGGGTGTGATCTGCACAAGTCAAGTCACAACCAGGGACCCAGACGAATGCCAAGTCCCCTTCTGCGGTGTCCTCTGTGAGTTCCAGCCAAGCTCACCAGCTGGGGTCCAGGCCAGGGCCCGATGGGCCAGAACCAGGGTCCCTCCCTGTTCTCCGCTGCTCCCTTCTGTAAGCCAAGGCCCAGGCTTGCTTTGACGCTGCAAGAGCGGCTTCTGTCGCTCCCACGGCTCCTTCGAGGGGAGCACAGTAATATCTGTGTGGAAAAGAGGCCCCCCAGCTTGGTTCTCACGGGCCCACCTCCTGGTCTCTGGCCGTCGTCCTATCTCTGATCACTATCCAGTAAACATTAAAGAGTCTGCTGTATACCATCTCAGAGTAAGTGACACCAGCAAAGGGCTCCATCTTTCACCCTGCCTTTGAAATGAATCCTCCCTCCGGTCGCTGCTCTGTCCCCTGAGAGGAATGTGGGGTGGGGTGGGTGGGAGCTTTCTCTTCCACATCCAAACACAGGGAGTGCACGCCCTCTGCTTCGGGGTGGGAGGGTGAGGGCTGGACCCTCTGGAAGACTGAAGCGACCCTGACTTACAGAGCATGTTCATCTGCACGGGTACATCTTTTCAGCCCACGGAAGATTGTGCCAGAGGGAGGGAAGGGCCCAAAGAGCCAGCTGCGGGTGTGGGCAGAGCTCTCTCCAGCAGAGGAGACGAGAGTGGCATTTCAGCCTGGGCCATCTCCCGAATCCTGGTGCCCCTCTGCTGTCCCTGACTGCTGAAGTGCCATGTGGGTGGTGGCTCAGACTGATCATTCCCAGCTACGGAACAGGACAGGGGCGCCCTCAGCTGCTGTGGATGGTGCTGGGTGCAGCTCTGGGGAAGCCATGCCCTCTGCATGGTGGGCCATTCTGAGCAGCGCCCCGGGGAGCCTGGGAGCCCCGCCCCTTGCACTCAGAGCCCATTCACACAGAGAAGCACCTTCCGTGACTGCACTGGGCAACGAACACAGTTTCCTCTTGGTTTTTTGGAAGCATGTCGAGGCCGAGGGGGGTGTGGGGAAAGGCGTAGAGTCTGAAGGGCACCCATGGGAGACACAGGATGCTCTGCCCAAGGGCACAGGAGCCCTGCTGTAACCGGATGGCTGTGATGCCCAATTAGGTGTCACCAAGAGGCTTAGAATGGGGCTCAGGATGTTTCTGCATCTCTCCACGCTCAGGTTGCAGCCCCAAGACAAGTGTTTTCTTGTCCTACAAGGCAAATTTTCACATGTGAAATGGGTACAAAATGAGTTGATTATAAGCTGTTGGCTGACGACGTCACGGTCACTGTGAGGAAGCAGCTCCATGCGTGGCATAGTCCAGGGCACAGGGTGCCTGCCTCAGGAGCCGCTGTTGTCTTTAATTTCTGCTGCTGGTTGTCAGCCCTGCCTGGCATTTCCTTTTCTGCCCTTCAAACTTGTTGATCTTTATCTAGGCTTTCATGAAATTCAAAATGTGCTCAGTGTTTAGCCCGCACCCCAACACATTTACACACACGCACACACATGCACACACACACACGCACACACCATTGTGATAAACACATGTATTATTTTTAGGTTGCAAAATAGAAATAAGTTTACAAAGACATCTTTGTTGTTAAAATTCTTGTTGCAAGTAAATAATGCTGTAGCCAGATGCTGAAACTCTAGCCCCAGACCACTCTCTCCCACCATCTCTGCGACTTTCTTCTCATTGACGTGGCTCCATGTGATTTAAAAGTAATAATGTGGCGCTCCCAGGGGCTGAGGCGGGAGGAGCGAAGTTCCAGCCAGCCAGGGGAATCTAGTGACTTAGCAAGGCCTTGTCTCATCCTAAAACATGAAAAAGGGCCAGGGGTGTAGCTCAGTGTTCAATCCCTTCTACTGCAAAAATAAATAATAAATAAATAAATAAATAATTATAATCACGTGAAAGGTCTAGGGGACATGGCTTTCCCAGTATAGCTGAGGCCTTGGGAGATGTAAACACACTGAAGTGAATTCAAGACGTGGCTGGAAGGATGCAGAGTCTAGGGAGGACGCAAAAGAGCAGCACTGGGTCGCATGGCAAAGTCGGGGGTACTTCTGTTGGACTCGTCTGTGTTTCCGCAGGACTCGGAAGCCAGGCCAGGAGGCCCTCGCTGAGGGAAACTGGACCTCACCTCTAATCTGCAAGTGTTTCTAGCAATAGTTGTTCCCAGAAGGAATGGGCTGCTTCGGAAGGGGTGAGCTCCCCATCCATGAGAGCATCAAGTAGAGGCTGGATGACCTCCTGTCTGCAGGTCAGAAAGGAACCTGGCCCGGGGGGAGAGGCTGGGGGGGAGCAGACGGGAGGAAGGTGAAGCGCACAGTGGGCCAGCGGCCCAGCGCAGGGCAGGGGGAGCGCCTTCCGCTCTGCTGTGCACCAGCTTCCGGAGCCCGACTGCGCCTCCGCCCGGTCTCTGACTCCAGTCCCTCTGCTCACTTCCTGACCAGGCCTCCGAAGCCCTGCCGGTGCAGAGCTCTCGGGCTCCTCCGAGCCCAGCCGAGCCTCCGTGGGGCCGGGGCCTGGTGGAGCCGCACACCGAAGCCTTCCCTGCGCTCGCTGGGGTCCTCACTGGACCCCCGGTGGTGAGAGGCTCAGAGCCAGCCTGCTGGGCCCGGGTTTCTCGCTGAGTTTCTAAGCCTCTCCCCACCTGTGAACCGCGAACTGTGCGCTCCCCGCACTCCTTGGCACCAGGACCAGGTCTGCGACACTGAGGACAGCGAGGTGGACAGGGCCTCACCAGTGTGCGGGCACCGCGGTCACGCGGGGCAAGAGGCCACGCCGAGCCCCCAAGTTGCTCCGTGGGTCCTGCCCTTGGGAAGCCCCGACTCCGGCGAGAAGCCCGGCTCGCTCGGGACCTGTGCCCTGAGCGCCGACCTCGCGCTGAGGTTCCCGGGGTTAAGCGCCCACCTCTGAGCAGGAGGACGATTGCGGCAGAAGACCCTTGCCAGACAGGAGCAAGTCTGGGCTGACAGGACACAGGGCGCCGTGCAGCTAAGCAAGGGCGCCGCACCCAGGCGGGCGGGAACCGGAAAGACGGGTGGGAAGACTTCCGGGATGCCGGGCTGAGCCACGGGGAAAGGTTCTCGGCTGACTCAGCGTCTCTCCCACCAGCTACAGTATTTTGGAGGTGAAGGAGGGGCAAGGGGAAAAAGAAGCATATGGAAATATTGGGCATGTCAAGGCCCCATGCGTGCTTTCCTGATGGGAAATTTGGTATCTAACTTCCGTTAATGTGTAGCCACTCTGATGTATCGTATTTAGTTAGTTAGTTAGCTGTCTTTGTGGCTCTGGGAGTTGAACTCAGGGCCTTCACGGTGAGCTACATTCCCAGCTCTTTTTTAAAACTTTGTGTATTTTGAGACAGTCTCACTAAGTAGCTGAACTGCCCGGGCTGGACTCGGACTTGCCACCCTCCTGCTTCAGCCTCCCAGAGGACTGGGATTGCAGGCATGCACCGCCACACCTAGCTTTCTTTTTCCTTTCAGAACAGCAGCGTGGACTCTCCACTCCGGGGTTGCTTTGGGAGCTCCAGGCCCTCACTTGGGCATGTGGGGGCCCCGGGCAGGGAGCATTCAACAGGGACATGGCACTGTGGCTTGGGGCTGGCGGCCAGCGGGGCAGTGTGGCAGTGGACACTGCCCATGTAGAGCAGGTGTCATTTGGCATGGCTTGGAGGAAAACGATTCTATCTTTACCTACGAGAACTAGAAATGATGGTATCTGTGCGGGTTTCAAATTCCACCTTTATTCATCAGCCTCAATTACTAACAGATTTTCTTATCATTTTTGAGCATTGTTAGACGGCAGCAATCATCTTTCTAGTATACATTTGGGTTCACTCAGTAAATTTTTAAAGAAGAAAATAAAGATAACCATATCATCACCAAGGATAACCAATCAGCCATCTTCGTGTTGGGCTCTCTCAGCTCTGATCAAGCCAGTACCCGAGTCAGGGTGCAGACATGCTCCAGGGAGCCCACACAGCCTGCTGAGGACTTGCTTCCAGGGGCCAGATGTCTTCACAGGGCTCCTTCAGGATCCAGGACCAGAAGTTTCCCTACCCGGAGGCCCTGCCTCGTGTGAAGGCGCCTAGCCTGGTTTGCTCAGGAGTGAGTGCACGCAGCCGAGGCTGTCCTGGGTCAGTCACCCCAACAGTGACCACATCCCACATCGTGAGCATCTGGCCACATCCCACATCATGAGCACCAGTGAGCCCAGCCTGGCCCAGGCCACTGAGCAGCTCTCTGATGGGCTAAACCGTGGTTATTGTTTGACACCCTTAAATCTTGAGGCTCTCAGTTATGCAGTAAATGCTAATGGACACACCCTCTTGTACAGGTGTGTGGAGCAGTTTAAAAGAACTCATATGTTTAAAATATTTGTCACTACTACTCGAACTCCATAAACTCTAGATAAATGTTTATTTCCATCATCACTGTCATTATTACAGTTGTAAGAAATACAGCTCCATGTTCTGTTTGGAAAGAACAAAAGGCAGAGTCTCCGATGTTGGCTTGAGTAGGATATTTTGACTGGTCTTTCCGCTTAAATAGAACGATGAGCAAATGAGCAGATTTAGCTGTCCTGATCCTTTTGCTGTAGGACTGGCAGTGCCAGCATGGCTAGGGTGTTACAGCTAAGCACAAGTGGCCTTGCTGACTGTCAAGACTTTAACCACGTGAGAACTGACTCTTTTGCCAGGAAACTTCAAATTCTTCCCAGTCCTTGAAATTCAGCATCATTTTGACTTGCTGAGGCCTCCGTTTGGATGAGGACTGTGTTGAGGCCAGACATGTCGTAAGCATGTCACTGTAGAAGCTCAAAATCAGCCCAGTCACCTAGGATGAGGTTGAATGTAACTTTTATTTATTTTGACGAGTGCACATTCCTTACACAGAACCAGAGGATTCTTTTTGGTGCATTCATAGCGTGCATGTAACAAACTGACCACCCCCACCATTACCCACCTCTCTCTCTCTCCTTCCCTCCCCTAGCTGTCTCTTCTCAAATAGTCCCCCATTCTCCTTCCATATCATCTCTCTCTCTCTTTTTAGGTTGACTATAACTTCAGAATTGAAAAATAGTTCTTGCTCTTTCCTGTAAGAACAAGTATTTAATATATATTTATATTTTAGTATAATTATTCATAACATTAGATTATAACAATTACTGTTTCTGTGAACATAACTTTCCTTCAGCTTGTTAGAAGTGATTTTATATGATTACCTGTGTAGTAGAAAACTTAGAGAATAACAAACTTGCTTAACAAATTATACATCTGAGGCTGCTTTTCCAGGAGTTCTGGACTCTAGAGACAGCCTCTCTCCTTGTTGTTAGAAAATACATGTGATTGCCAAGGGCCTCTAGAATACATCCCATTTGCCAAGTCTTTCACTATAATTTCTCTCTATTATCACCTATTAGTTAGAGCAACCTTCACTTTATAAATAACACCTTGCAATTGTCTCATGGCATTTGGTTTACAAAACACTTGCGTACACTGCCTAACTGTCATCCTACCCCACACTATCTATTGGCCAGACACACACGACTGTTTCTAGTTTACAAGGCAAGCAGACAGTGGGACTGGCCCACTTGTGGTTACCTGCTTTGTAAAGGCACTGCCAGTTTCAGGCCTAGATTCTCTGATCCTGGAACTGGACTCTACTCACGGAGCATGATGTCTCTCCCGCCTGCCACAGCGTGGTGAGAGGATACCTGGCTTTACAACATCAGACACAGCGGAGCTGACCCTGAGTCCTGGCTCTGCCATACATAAATGACGTAAATTTGCACAAGCTACTTAGACTCCAAATCTCATCGTGTTTTACATACAGAAGAGATTGGATAATATTACCGTACCTTGTAAAATTTTAATTTTAAGATTAAATAAGTAATCTATCTAAAGTGCTTAGCATTAGAAGCATTTACAAATGCACATTGCCTTTGCTGTGCCAGCCTCCTTAGTGCTGTCTTTAGCGGGTAGAAGGGGGAGGTGACGAGTCCTCGGAGATCCAGCGTCTGAGGTTCTTCTTGGAGCTCTTGTAGGGTGTCGGTTTCCCCGTCCTCTTGATCTGCTGCCTGGGTCACTCAGCAACCCCCCGAAAGTGACGTGAATGAAGGGGAGACATTAGCACGGGTGGCGTTGCCTTTGTCTTGTGGCTGGATTTGCAGGTGTGCAGGAAAATAAAAAATGATCCAGAGTTTTGCTCTCTTACATGAAAGATTGCATCGTGCCTGGCACATATTTGTGACTGAGGGGACGTAAGAGTGAGCACAATCCATGCTTAGCCTCCCTCCGAAGGATGCTTAGTTTGATAACAGTTTGGCGTACTGCAACCAAAACAGCATACCAGGAGGGGGCATTTTCCACTGATAATTTTTATGTAGATTCAAAGCAACAAGGCAGGACTGTGTTTGCTTGTTTCTTAGTGGCCTCCCCCTGGCCCCTCTCCTCCTACACTTATAGAGAACTTGACTGGTGCTGGCTATTCTCATCTTCAAAAGCTCCCAGTTGCTTTGAGACTTTTCAGCTGTAACTGCTTGTGAGTCCCACACACATCACCTCCAAGGCTCATCTTATTCAGTGATTTAGCCACTGCCAGCTCACACTAAAGAACAACTTCCTGTTTCAGGCATTGTCTTCTAATGGTTAATTTTATGTGACCGCTTGTTCAGGACAGAGGATTCCCACCAATTTCATCAGTATTGTTGGGGTGTCTGTAAGCAGGTTTCTGGGTGCGACAAACATTTGACTCACAGACTCAACAAAGCACCTCCTGCAGAATGTGGGTGGACTTTAGCCAATCACTCGAAGGCCCGAAGGCTGGTCCCTGGAATAGGAAGGACTCTTTTCTGACTCCTTGAACGAGGGCCTTGATTTTTGTCTTGCCTTTGGACATGACCCTAAATACCGGCTCCTCCTGGGTCTCGAGGTGCTGGCATTTGGACTGCAATGATGTCATTAGACTTCCTGGTCCTCTGGCCTTTGAACTTGGACCACAACTATACCAACAACTGTGCTGCATTTCCAGCCTGTCAGCTGCAGGCCCTGGAGCTTAGCCTCCGTAACCGTCTAAGCCAGTTCCCGGTGGTAGATTTCTTTGTGCCTGTGTCTGTCTGGCCTGCAGATGAATGGGTAGGCACTTCTCAGCTGCCACAGTTGGGTGGAGCAGCTCCCCAATCCCCCTCTCGCCTGGGCAGACGCACACGCCCCTGGTTGTGTCTGGAGAAGCCCGCCGAGGGTCTCAGCCTTCCCCTCCTCGACTTAGTTAGCTTAGTCTTCCTGCTGTCCTAACCCTCCACAGTTTTCTGGCTTGTGCCTCACCACGTCGACCTCTGTTCTCAACTATCCTGGGGACTTTTGAAGTCAAGAATAATAAACTCAATGACCAGACTATTTCTTTGCCTGCCCTAATTCCCAACAGTTCTCTTTGAGTAGCATATTTGAACTAATACTTCAATTTCTGTCCCATTTCATTATTCTCTTTCCAAAAAATATACTGTAGATTTCTCCATCCAAAGAGGAAACTGTGCATTTCTAGCTTACGTCTTGTTAGCCACAAACGTTTCTAGACTCCATGTGCAATATTTTGACTAGTGTTTCTGAGGAATAAAAAATGTAGAAGTAAATCAAAGAAATACAGACTGAATTGAAAATTACATGGGTTAATAAACGTTTCTGCACAACATTAAGCATACATATGTGTGTTTAGGTACAGTATATGTCAGCTGTATCATACATGCATGCTCATGTGTATCTTTACATAGGTGTCTACCTAGGCAGCTGGCAGTTTCTCACTGATGCTTGGAGACTCACAGCTGTAGCTTTTGGAGCTTGAGGAAGTGCCCATGTCCATCCAGTGTTCAGCCTTGCCGAGAGCTTCTGTCCCGGCTGCCATTGCAGAGTCGCT